TATAAATATGTGCTTTTAAATCAAAAATAGAAAGTTTAACTTTATTTATTGTATTTCTATTAATTTAAAATAGAAAGTAATATTTTATTATATTTTAATTAATTCTTTTTAAATCTTTAATTAAAAATAGGAAGTATATTTTTTATTATAATTTTTGCTAATATATATTAAATATAATTAGTGTGTAAAATTAACTAATAATATAATTTATTTCGAGAATATATTTAAAAAGAATGAAGTAATTTATTATTAATAAAAAATATAAATATTATTTATTAAATATTTAAATAAATATGAAACAAAATAAAATTTATATATTTCTATAATTATTTCTTTTATATTATATCTTATCATAACATAACATATAATATCATATTTTTTTAATATTTTATTCTAAATAGCAAATCATGGTATTATATTTTACATTAATTATTAATAATCATCTTACTAAGGTTTAAAATATAATTATTAAAAAAAAATTATATTATTATTACAAATTTATTTAAAAACTTAATTCAGATTAACAACAAAAAGTACTTTTTAGGATTATAATATTTAATTATAAATATAAAAAATTATAAAGATGAAAAATTGAATAAGCATAAAGAAAAATATTAATATATATATATATATATATTAAATTATATTATATGAAATAATATAAAATTAAATATATTTTATATTTCTAATTAATTATATCAAATTATCTTAAAAAGAATTAAATATTTTTTAATTAGTAAATAAAATAAGTATAAGGGCTTATTTAAAGCAGATTACAATATTATTATTTTAAAAAAATATAAATAAAATTATATATTCTTCATCTTCTTATTTTATATATGAATTAATTATAAACATAAATTAATTTTCAAAAAGTTTCAATTTATCTTATTTAAATAAATATAAAAAGAATATTTGAATTATTATAATGATAAATTAATAATTAAAAAAAAAAATATATATATATATATTTTAATAAGATAAAAATATTATTTATATATTATATATGTATTAATATATTAAATTTATTTTCTTATTCTTTTTTTATTTTTTTATTTATATTTTATTTTTTATATTTATTATGTCTAACAGATTTTTAATATTTTCATATTTATTTAAAAATAAATATTTTGAATTAATTTTTTAGTATTTTTAAATTTTTTCTGTTCATAATCAAATATGATTATATATAAAATGATTAATTTAATTTATATAATTTTTTTCATTTCTTTTTTAAAATTAAAAAAAACATTTTCTTTATTAAAGATTTAGATATTTTTTTTTGTTTAAATAAAATTAATTTATATATATTATAATATTTGATAAAAAAAAAAATTAATTTAATTTATTATTTATTTTATAATTAATTATATAAATATATGAAAAGCGATATGTTTATATATTTATTTGTATTATTTAATTATTTTTATGCTTTAAAAATTGAATTAAAATGGATATATAAAATCAAATAAACATATACATATATTATATATATAAATAGCATTTTTTATTATATAATTTTATATTTTAAAAAAAATCTTTTTTAAAAATAATTAAAAATAAAAATATTTTAATTAAAATTATCACGTGTTTTTTTATATATATAGTATGAATTTAATTTTTGTTAAATAATAATAATATTACTATTATTAATATTCTTTATATTAATTTAATCATCCTTAATTTATTTTTCTTCAAATATTTTTCGTTAACAATAGTTTATAAATTAAACTTCATTTAATTCTTAATAATTTAATAAAATCATTTTTAATATAAACTTTTTTATTTTTTTTTATTTTTTTCATTTATTTCATTTTTTTCCCTTTAAATTAGATTTTTTTTCTACTAAGATTTCTATATTGTTTTAATTTTTTTTTTCTTTTATTATATATAATTTAGTGTATTTCTTTACCTGTTTTTCTGATACTTTATTTTGCATTATTTTTTTCTTATTTTACATTAATTAATTCTCAATTTCTATCTTTTATTTTTTACAATTCCATTTTTTTTTTATTATTATAACTTATCATCTTCTTCTAAATTTAATTATTTTTTAGTTTAATTTTCATTTTAAATCACTTTAACTTTCTTCTTTATTTTGATTTAAATTTTTCTATTTTTTCACCTCCTCCCTTTTCCCTATAATCGTATTATCAAAGTTAAAGTTCTTAATTATTATGAATTGATATTTTCCCACTTTTTTCCTTTTATCATTATTAAATTATATTTTGCAATTCTTCGTTGATGAGCGTATTAGATTTCTTTAAATATAAATAATATTTTTTCTTATTCATTTTCATTTGGTTTATATTATGAATCAAAATCATTATCTTCTATAATTATAATTTAAGATTATTAGTTTTATTATCAAATTCTTATATATTCCATACATTCTTCATCATCTATGTAAATTTACCCATTTCTTAATCATTATTTAATTAATAAATCTAATAATTAAAAAAATAGACAAAAGTGAACTCATACATCTACCTTAATATAAACTCCATATCCCTAATTTTTAGAAAAGCTGATATGGTTTATTTCAAACCTACAAAATTAATCAATTAAAAATTTAAAAAACTATATCAAGTCAATTATTTTGTCAATATAATATAATACCTTAAAATTAATTAAAAAAAAATTTGAAAAAAAAAAAAAAAAAAAAAAATGTATTTGTGAATTTAATTCCAATATAATAAAACGCATTGAATCGGTTATTAAAAGCAATTCCCCTAATAAATTTATGTTAAATACTCGTTATTTGACTCTTTCTAATTAGAAAACGAAAGTGAAATTTCAATAGTAGAAGTTTCAAATGATGCTTAAAAAAATTAAAATTTATACTAAAAAGCATGGCATCAATATCATATATAGATATTCTAGATAAAGATAAAATTTTAAAAGGTTTTTCAAATACAAAAATATTCCGATATGAATGAATTCAAAAAATAGCATATTCATATTTCTTAAATTATAAAACACATAGCCAATTTATTTGAAAATTCTGAATAGTCTAAAAAAATAAATATGATATTATTTATTAATTGCTTATTTGAATAAAGATGAAAATTAATAATTAGTCATTTAAGACAATAATAACCATTGGGTTAGTATAAATACTGATATGATAGAATAAAATTTAAAACTTTGATTAATAATTTATTAGTATAAAGATAAATAAATATATATTTATTATATAATAATAGTGTAAATTTTCATTAAAAATATAATTTTTTTTTAATGTAATTCATATAAAAGTATTACTTTAATTTAATTATTTTTAGTTGTTTTTAAAAATGTTTATTAGTTTTATTTTAATTATTATATTTCTTAATTATATATTAAAAAAATTTAGGATCTTTATTAATTTTTAAAATAGTATTATTATGATATTTATATTTTTATGAATAAATTTTATTATTATTTATAATAAAAATTATTTTTATTAAAAAATATTTCTGAATTTATATTTTTTTAAAAAAAATTATATATTATTATTAATTTTTTATAATTTTTTTTTCAATCTTTCTTATTTAATTTTTTTTCTGTTTTTATATTATGTGATTTTTTTTTTTAAAAAAAGTGATAATTTTTATACTATATTTTAACGTCTTATTCTTTATACCTTTATTTATTATATTTATTTAATTCATTTTTATAATATTTAATCTTATTTTTATTAACTTTAATCCTTATATAAATTCCTTTTAAATTTTTCTATTATTTCCAATTGTTGCTGATTTTTTTGCTTTAGAATAGTAGTTTTAAAGTAACCATTTGATAAAATAGACAACCGGTTGGCCAAATAACACTTATTTCATTAAATTTGCACAAAATATGATTATTTACAAAAGAATCTGTTTATTCAAAATTTTTAAAAAGACAAATATATCAAAACTTATTATTATTTTTAAAATCAAAAATTATATCTATGGAAGATTTTAAAATTAATCAGATAAAAATTATATTCTATTAACCTAATAGAATTTAGTTAGTATTTTAAAGATAATATTTTCTTATTTATAGTATTATATTTTCTTGTATTTCTTTAATGAAGTTAACAAATTAACATAAATGCATTATTATTAATAGGTTTTGGTATATTATCTGTTATTCTATCATATCATTTATCTATTTTATATTTTTATTGATATATATTATGTTAATTTTTATATTAAATAATTTTATTTTGTTATTAAAAATAATTATTATAATTTATATTTGTATTTATATTATATTTTATAAATTATTAAATTATATTGAATAAAATGCATTATTAAAATAAATATTATTAATCTCTATTACGCAATTTCACAAAATATATTATAATAATTATTATTTATATACAAAATAATTTGATTATATTTCTTTTTAAAATAATATTAATATAAATTATTTTATAGAAAAAAAAATATATATTAATAGTAGGATGTCAAAGGTAGACACGATAATTATTTGTATTTTAATTTCTTCTTATAGATTCACATTTATTTGTTAATTCTTATTATATTTACATAGATATATTAGGCTTAAAGAAAAGTATTATTTTATATATTATAATTGAGTTAAAACCTACAAAAATTTTTAAGAAAACATTTAAAAATTTAAAAAATTAATAAATTGAAATAATATTTATTATATTCATTATTTATTAATATTTTTATTTTTAAAAAAATAGTGCGTAAAAATACATTAAATTTAGTTTTGCATTTTTCATTTATTTAAGGTAAAAAATATTTTTATTTTAAAGGAATAAAACAAAATTATTTTACTTATATATAATATTTTTAAAAATAAAATAATAAAGGATGTACATATATTTATTTATTAATACTTAATTAATATTTAATTTTAGTGTGTAATTTAATAAATAAAATATTTTTATTTTCATCTTAATTATAAATAATTTCTTTTCTATACAAAAAGCAAGTAAAAAATAATTTTTTAATAAATTAATATAAATAATTTGATAGTATGTAAATATAAATTAGAAATATTTTTTTTTAAAATATAAATAAATAATTCTAAGAGCGTAAATAAAATATATGTATGATTTTTATAATAATAAATCAAGGATGTAATAAATTATTTAAAAAATAAAATTTATAAGATTAAAAGATTGTAAATTGTTTAAAATATAAAAAAAATTAAATTTATTATAAAAAAATAGTGTGTAAAATAAATTTTAACTTTAATAAAACTAATTTTATTTATTATAGTTAGTATAAATAAAAAATAATATATTTCGAACTATAAAAATTATATGCATTAAAAAATAGTTAGTAAATAATAAATGTTATTATTAAAAATAAAAATAAAATAATAGTGTGTAAAATTAATATCTAAAATTATTATTATAAATAAAATTATCATTTTCTGAACAGGTAAAAATAATAATTTAATTTTAATTAATTTTAAACAGAGAGTATTTAAAATTAAAAAATAATAAATCAATTAAAATAAATTAAAATGAAGATTTATAATGTAAAAATAATTTTTATTTAAAATAAATATTAAAATAAAATAAAAAGTGCGTATTAAAATAAAAATTGTCAAATAATAAATAAAAAATAGAAAGTTAAATAATTATAATAAAAATTTATTTAAATATAAAATATA